GGTAGATGCGCACTCACGACTGCTGCGCGTATCGCATCCACACACGTCTTTTGGAGAAAGGTGGACTAGATCGGGCTCCTAAGCATGAAGAGGCCGCATATATTGAACTAAGTGCATACGAATTGCTCCTAAACAACTGTCAAAGGCTAGATACAGTAGATCTTGCTACGTAAGCTGGTCGCGCAAGCTGTGCAAGACTCAAGTAGTTTGAGTGTCTGAAGCGAGACACCGATCGAGCGACACTTGTAATTGCAAGTACGTATAGCGCGGTGGACTAGCGTCCCTTTTGCAGTTCGCACATACAGTACCATTCGCGTAATTACGACAGTGATTCACACTCACACTTAAGACAGACTGCTGACTCACCATTCGTGACTGCTGATTAGCTTGCTCGGACTCGGGCGGCAAGCCATGCATGCAAAAGCGAGGGAGATATCGCCGGTCTGCTGGAATCAATCTTGCATCGTCATAAACCGAGACTTGCGCTTGCTTTGCCGCCGCGCATCCAAGCTAAGATCGAGCCGGCGGGAGCTGCGGCAGTCGCAATTTGATCGAGAGACCCCCCGCTCACACGATGAGGGGATGGTCTCAAGTCGGAAGATGGACAAAGCTGGACCTCCATTTGCGGATCCAAGATAATTTTGTCTTTGCGCGCAACAACCGCACATTCGAGGGCACGTGTCTCGGTTCAGCTGCTTCTCCAACTCCGCTCGCTGCCCATGTGCACATTGTCTGACAAGCCCCACTGTGAAGGCAATTAGCTTGGGCGGAGTTGAATCAGCATCTCCACAACCCAGCTGTCAGCTCTCCGCATCCAGAATGATCGTGATGTGAGCGGAGAATGAAAGTAGGGACACGTACAGTAGTGAAGCAGCTGTCGGTACTCTCCATAGTCCATACGATGACCGGCGCACAGCAACCTCAAGTTGCTGCGCTGCAGCGCGCATCCCTTCACTTTCTTGTTCGACTCGAGGCAATCAAGCCACAAGCACTCGGAATCTGGAAGCAGGAAAGCCACAACAGTCCTAGTCAATCAATGGCACATCGGTACCGCTCCTCTATGGCGGCTCAACAGATCCCGCAAGCCACCTTTCCAAGCTTTGCATTGCGAGGACCCCACACAGCTTCCCTTGGAGCTTTCAAAGTTCGCCGGGAGGAGTACTTTGATCGTTCTTTGAGCGAATTTCGCATAGGCAAGTATGATGCAAATACCCGAACGTACGATTTGCAAGGCGTCGAGTGTGAGTGGAGCGTGCTCAATTAGCGCGGGACGTGATGCAGATAACGCTTTCGAGAAGACCGTAGTGCG